GCCCACCCAGCAACCGGGCAGAGAACCCATTGCTGAAATTTTTGGAGCCCACCCCTGCATGGATTCCCTCTGGGGCCGACTCTGCTTCGATCAGCAGCACCCACAACCTACGTCTGCACAACTCCCACCCTGTTCACAAGTGCGATGGGACCACAACTACTCGGAGTCCCATCATGACAAATCAGGAGTGGCTCTTCCTTATTTGCTGGCCCATATTTTGGCCATCGCATGCAGCCCTCTGCGGGGTTCAGGAATGTGAAGTAAATAGGTTTAGTCATTATAGGCATTAAAGGGGGAGCAATCCTGGAACGCTTTTGGAAGGCTTTCTGTAGATGTTCAAAGCATTCAGCCATAATAGCTGGAGCTAATTGGCCAGAACTATATTATATTAAGCAGCTCCTTTAGTTTTCAGCTAGCAATCTACATGTGAAAAAGAAGTAGGAAAATCAGAAGTAAAAGGTTTAGAAACTGTAGAGGGATTTTTCAAATAGAGGAAGGAAGGAAGGAAGGATTCAGAGACATAGACGGACATATAGATATAAATAGATGACACATAGGTAATAGATAATGATATAGATAAATGATAGAAGTCAGATAAAGAGAGAGAGAGAGAAAGGTATGATAGATGGATAGATGGATAGAATAGATGAACGTGATAGACGGATAAATAGAATCTCCATGCATAGATTAACAAATCATTTATCAGTTGCATAGGTATACTTATTTCAATAAAACACTGTTCCATTTCCAAATCAAAGATTATTATGATAGGAAATCCTGATTTACATTTTTTTTTAAATTGGGACTGGATTTTTCTTAGAAAATCTCAAACCCACTTTTTGATGAGTAGCTAAGGAAACACGTGCATTGTGGTATGCCTTCTAAATCTAACATACCCGTTTAAATGAACGTTGTTCTGAGCCAACCGCTCGAACTCGACATTTGCAGAAAGGTGAAAAGAGAAGGATAATTGCCCCAGGTCCGCAAGTGAAAACCTGGGCTTGAAGAGTCTTCCAATTTCTCCCCGCTGCAAAAAGCTCAGTTCTAGGAAAAATGTGCTGTGACAATCACCAGCCTTTGAGCTCAAGAGGTTCAGGTTGTTCTAGAACTGCAGCTGTTCAACTAAAGCC